TTCTAGAGCTACTCATACCCCAGGAGTGTCCCACAGCTGACGTTTTACTATTTCCTGTTTCTAATTCTAGTGATGTATCATTTGCAACCCTTTTAAACTCATCCTACCCCAGAGCAGCCTGTGAGGAAGGGAGGGTAAATATTCCCACTTTACAAATAAAAACCTGAAGCCATTGCTTAAATTATTACCTCAACATTGCAGTTATTAAGGGTGAAGATGGTACTAGGCTGGTTCAGGGTACATTTAGCTGTAAAAATAATGTAGCATTGTGATAAAATCACAGGCTTTATAGTCAGAAAGGTCTGGGTTTTGCTCACATACTGAGTAACAGCGATATGCTTAATCTCTTTAGACGAGGGAAGTTTCTTTTTTTATTGATACATATTTGTACATATTTAGAGGTACATGTGCAATTTTGTTACATGCCTAGAATGTGTAACGATCAAGTCAGGGTATGTAGGGTGTCCATCACCTTGAGTATATATCATTTCTAGGTGTTGGGAACATTTCAAGTCCTCTCTTCTAGCTGTTTTGAAATATAAAATACATTGTTTTTGATTATAGTCATCCTGTTCCACTGTTGAACATTAGAATGTATTCCTTCCATCTGTGTGTTTGTACCTGTTAACCAAACTCTCATCGTCCCCCTGCCCTTCCCTCACACATCCTTCCGAGCCTCTGGTGTCTATCATTCTACTCTCTACCTCTATGAGATCAACATTTTTAGCTCCCATGTCTGAGTGAGAACATGCAATATTTTTCTTTCTGTACCTGGCTTATTTCACTTAACATAATGGCCTCCAGTTCCATCCATGTTGCTGCAAATGACATGATTTCATTCTTTTTATGGGCTGGATAGCATTCCATTGTGTATCTATACCACATTTTCTCTATCCATTCATCTGTTGATGGACACTTAGATTTATTCCATGTCTTTGCTATTGTGAATAATGCTGCAATAAACATGAGGGTGCAGGTATTTTTTTGATATACTGATTTCTTTTCCTTTGGATAAATACCCAGTAGAGGGATTACTAGGTCATATGTTAGATCTATTTTTATTTTTTTGAGAAATCTCTGTACTGTTTTTCATAGTGGCTGTACTAATATACATTCCCACTAACATGTATAACATGTACATGTAACATGTAATTTACATTCTCCGCACCCTTGCTAGCATCTGTTACTTTTTCATCTAGATGAGGGCAATTCCGATCAATTATTAGTCATGTGATATTATCACATAAAGTATGCACTGGAGTCACAAGAGGGAATCTTTGTAGAATCAGAGCTAACTGGATTTCTTTTGGCTCCTAAAGCTAGAGGATCAGGCATTAAACAAAAAAAAGGCATTTATGTAGTAATACCAGCTATCTTAGTCTGTTCTTGCTGCTATAACAATATACCACAGACTGGGTAATTTATAAACAACAAAAATGTTTTCCTCATATCTCTGGAGGCTGAGAAGTCCAAGATCAAGGTGCCAGCAGATTCAGTGTCTGGCAAAGTCTTGCTCTCTGTTTCCAAGATGGTGCCATGTTGCTGCATCTTCACGTGGCAGAAGGTGGGAGGACAAAAGGGATGAAGGCCGTGCGTAGCCTCTTTTATATAAGGACGCTAATCCTATCCATGACGGGGGGGAGGGGAGCCCTCCTGACCTAATCACCCCCTAAAGGCCTCACCTCTTAATATTATCACATTAGTGATTAAGTTTCAACATATGAATTTTGGGAAGACACATTCAGGCCATAGCACCACCTTTCTGTATTTTAGTAATTTATTTTAACCCCTCTTTCATTTCTTTATATATAACATTGGAATGATACTAGTACCTACCTGTATCAGTCAGAATAAGTTATGTGCAATAACAAACAACATCCAAATCTGAGAGATTTAAAACAAAGAAATACAAAGATGTATTTCTCACTCACTTATGTCCATTGTGATTTGGGCAGTAGCTCCTTACATCATCCTTACATGCGAGCCTGAGATGATTAACTCTTTGCCATCTGCAAGGTTGTTGGTATCCATGGCAAGGGGAAAGGATCCTCACATATCACACATTGGCTTTTAAATGTTTTTGCCAGGAATGGACACACATCTCTCCACTCACATTTCATTAACCAAAGCTAGTCACCTCTCTATGCCTAATTTCATGGGATAGGAAATTGCAGTCTAACACAATGAACCTATGGGCCCAGAAGGAGAACTAGAATTTTGGTGAATAGCCCCAATAACCGCTACCTGGCCTTATTAGGATTTCTGGGAGGCCTAATTAAGTTTGTGAATGTCAAACAGTAAGCACAATGCCTGATAGCTTACAAGAACTAAGTAAATGTTAGGAATTGTTATGACTTACTTTGGTTATAAACTTTATTAATAACAATGACTTGGAGCTTACTTTAGCTTGTTGCATGTAGTGTCACTTTGGAGTATGGAACTTCTGAAGTAGAGCATGTGTTTATCAAAAAAAACATACAGAGCTGCATAATTTTTACGCTTGCATGACAGCAATGTTGAGTGTACTACACAGACACAGCATAATGAAACGGTTGAGGGACTCAGATGACTTGAGTATAATGGTAGTCAATTATTATTTTATATCCAGATGGGAAATTTGTGATTTATAAACTGCTAAAGAACAAAAAGGATTGGACTTACACATATCATTGTATGGACCCAAGTTCATTATTTCGGAGCGTACAACCCTGTTTCTGTGCATGTTCCTTTGCACAGTGTTAAGCTGAAAACCCCATGGTTCTCCGGGTGCCTCAAATACTCTGCTTGTGGCTCATGGATTCTGTGGTTTCTTCAAGGTAGATAGTGAGCAGGTCAGATCATAGTCAAAGAAGTTCAAGCAAAAATAAGTTTTCTTGGTTTTAAGAGTCCTCTTTCTTCACCCTTTTTTCCCTGGGAATAGATTTTTCTCATACCTATTTCTTCACTCTCTTTTTCCTTCTAAACAGAAAAACATTGGTCATTGTGATTGATTGATTGATGGTTGGCTGATTACATTTTATCACACAGGACTTTGAATATGTTACTTCAGTTGGCATTTTTGTCTTAATGCACTATTCCAGCCTATGAGCTCCTCTGGGGTGAAGATTTTGTCATTCAATTAGCCTTGGGTCCTCAGTGCCCAGCAATGCCTATAACTTGGTCTTCGAGTAACAGTGAATGAAGAACTGAATGAATGTACAAGAAGAAAGCATTGCTCCCGTTTAGAGGAACTGCACGCATAGGGAGAACACTGGGGACATTTTCTCATTGCTGAGCCCCCTGAAATCCTCTGTATATGACCTTTTCCTTCCTACTCATTTCTTCTTCTATTTTCATGGCTAGGCCATGACCACTGGGGAAGCACGGAGAAGTCTGCCTGATCCTACAGCTGGAGACAGTTGCCTCAAGCCATATTTCTTTAATGATAGAATTCCTTTCCCCACCTCCCCCAATCCCCCCAAAAGAATCCTTCCTGTTTTAGAAGAAATGAAATCAGCAGTCCCCTCCCCTTCTGTTTCATCTGAGTAGAGGCTGGACCTGCACCGGAAATTCTTCCAGCTCTGGCACTCAAAAGTCAGTAGGTGTCCAAGTCACCTTGGAGGGCTTATCAAAACAGTTTCCTGGACCTGCTTGGTCCAGGATTTCTGATTCATTTAGGGGAAGTGGGCCCAAGAATTTGCATTTCTGACAAGCTTGAAGGTTATACCAGTGTTGCTGGCCCGAGGACACTACTTTGGGCAGCGTTACTCCATCTGAACTCGTCTCGGTCTCCTCCCTCCTTATGTCCCAAGAACTCCTGATGCTGATTTCTTTTCAGGCATTGGTTTTGCTCAGTTTTTTTGCTTGTTGTTGTTTTTTAATCGAAATGATATATGTTTAGGGTGCACAGATGATGTTTTGATCTACATATACATATACCTAATAAACTGATTGCTATAGTCAACCTAATTAACATATCCATTTCTTCACATAGTTACCTTTGCGTGTGTGTGTGTGTGTGTGTGTGTGTGTGTGGTAAGAACACTTAAGATCTGCTTTTAGCAATCTCATATACACAACACAGTATTATTAACCATAATCCATGCTGTACACTCAATCGCTAGAATTTATTCATCCTACACAACTGAAACATTGTACCGTTTGACCAACATCTCCAATTTCCAACCCCTGATAGCCACCATTCTACCCCCTGCTTCTGTGAATTGACGTTTTAAGATTCCACATGTAAGCAACATTGTGCAATATTTTTCTTTCTGTGTCTGGCTTATTTCACTTAACATAATGTCCTCCAGGTTCATCCATGTTGTCACAAATGGCAGAATTTCCTTCTTTTTAAGAGCAGGATAATATTCCCTTTTTATACATACACACACACACATACACACACACACACATATATATTACATTTTCTTTATTCATGTGTCAGTGTACATTTAGGTTGATTCCGTATCTCGGCTATTGTGAATAGCGCTGCAGTGAACATGGGAGTGCAGGTATTTCCTCAACATACTGATTCCATTTCCTTTGGATAAATACCTGTGCTGCTAGTTCTATTTTTAATTTTTTAAGGAACGTTCATACTTTTTCAATAATGGCTGCATTAATTTACATTCCAGCCAACAGGGCACAGGATTCCTTTCTCTCCACATCCTTGCCAACACTTGTTATCTTTTGTGTTTTGGATAATTGTCATCCTGAAAGCTGTGAGGTGACATCTCATTGTAGTTTTTAATGTTGCTTTTGAACTGTTGGAATGATCCTAATTATTTCTCCTTCTGATATCATAATAGTAGTGCTGTCTTTTATGTGTCTGCCCAAACATTGTTTTGATTGTTACAGATTATGAATTCCTAAACATGGAAACTGTCTTGTACCAGAAGACCTTACAGAGAAAGCCAAGACAGTTGCCTACTGAGTACTTATGAAGGCTGTGTTTGGTCAGAATAGTAAAGGGATGGTTTCCTTTGTAGCAAAGACATCTGGACCCTTTTAACCAACTATTTTAAAAACTTACATGAGTGTTTTTATTTTAGTTCTATTATCTAGCTAGTTAGCCAGTTGGCCTTTTTGAAATCATTAAAAAGGAGTTATATAAGCTGCATTGGTGGGAGATAAAATTAATGTGGATGTAATTTTGCACAAGAAATTTTATTTAGTTGACTAATTCAAACTATAAATTCATAGTTGTAGCTCTTAAATTGATCTTGACACAACAAGGTAATTTGACTTTTTAGAGTAAAGATATATGACCTCGAAGAAATGAAAGGCCACATTTTAAGTAACCTCCTATTTGGGATGTTTCTTAATAGATGAGAAAAATTAAAATGATACTTAGTTAGACTGTAGAGTGAGCTCTTTTCCAAATGGCTTATCTGGGGATTTTCTCTATGTATATCTTTTCTTCGTGTTCCTTTAGTTACAACAGGGACATTTGTGTTGCTGAATCCTCAGTATAGACAGCTGTGTACATTCTGGTATTTATTCTCCAGCCGTGTGTGTGTGTGTGTGTGTGTGTGTGTGTGTGTGTGTGTGTGTGTAAAAACCTCAAATAAATGAGATTGCTTACCATATTGTGTTTTTTTTATTAAATTAACATATTTATTGAACATTTCTTCCTGTCATTAAATGTTTTCCT